GGTAACATGCAATCACAATGCAGTCATGTTATGCTGACTCGCTACATCTCTTGGATTTCCTCAGGTGCATAGTACCAGTACTCTTAAAAATAAAGAAAAAGGAGCCAACCTTAGAAGGCTACATACTGTATGATTTGAACTATATAACATTCTGGAAAAAGGAAAACTACAGAAACAGTAAAAATATCAGTGGTTGCCAAAGGTTGGGTTAAGAAGGGACGAATAGGAAGAGCACAGAGAATTTTTAGGGCATTGAAACTACTCTGTGTGACACTATCACAGTGGACACATTACACATTTGTCCAAACCCATAGTATAGGCTTTGGGAGGTAACGTGTTAAGGAAGGTTCCCGGACTGTAACAAATGTACCACAGCAATGCAAGGTGTTAATAAGGAGAGAGTGTGTGCGGGGGTGAATTGGGGAGGATATGGGAACTCTGTACCTTTTGCCCAGTTTTTCTGTAAACCTAAAACTGCTCAAAAAATAACATCTATTGATTTATTTTTTAAAAAAGAAAAAAGAAAAGCAATCCTAACACTAGACTCACACTGAGCCCTTTTCATCTCAAGTTCCAAGTTAGAGCTGTGGCCCTACAGGTATACAGAGTAACTGTATTTCCCCACTGGCTGGGAAACAAAGCCTGAGCTTCATTGCCAAGCAGGTGCACTTAGAAACTTGCTCTGGGATCTCAGTGAGCTTCCGCTCACTGAACACAAATTAATGAAAATGACAATACTCCTCCACTGTCATCTCCTGAAGATTCAAGAAGGTGAGGTCAATAGCATAGAATAAGTATCAGTGCATGAGTTTCCGTCCTTGCTTTCCTAAAAGGCTGGTTAAGTGGATATTCTCAGAAATAAACTCATAGGCTTCCCTGCATGCAGCTTCCCTGGTCTGGAAATAAATCACACAGTTTCTATGAGGAACTGTACACATTTAGGTTCATTGCAATGCCAAAGACAGAGGATGCTGTGAGAGCTTTATGTAAATAAATATTCTCCTGGTCCCACGTGAACCATTTCTAACCTCCTCAATAACTAGAAAAACCGCAAACAGCTCCAGGATAAATAAGACAAACTTAATCTATTAAACAATAGAATGAAATGCTACTTCATTTTCATTTAGCAGGAGGAACATAGGAAGCTGCATCTTCAATATTAATAACATCACTAAAAAGCAGAAAGTACGGGAGAGGGAGGGAGGGAGGGAGAGGAGGAGGAATAAGAAGAACGGTCATTGCTTTCCCTGTTTCATTTACTGTTAAATGGCTATTTGGAAAAAAGCCATCGTTTTATCAGGCTTTACCTTTATGATCAAACCCCCAATAAAAACGTACATCCTTAAATCCTGTTCACATCTCTAACCTGTGCTTTTTCTCATAATATATTCTTTAATCTGATTGGTTTACTCTCTCTCATGTTTTTTTTTATTGGTAACTCAATCCCCAATACCCATTTACATAGTCAGTTCTCTATTTTTATTAAATAAATTGCTTTTATTTTTGTAAGGTGCACATTTCACTTTTAAGCACTTTACCTTCTTTTAAACTGTGCCCCTTGAAATGCAAATCAAAACTATAATGAGATATCACTTATCTCCAGTGAGAATGGCTTTTATCAAAAAGTCCCAAAACAGTAAGTGTTGGTGTGAATGCAGAGAGATAGGAACACTCATACATTGCTGGCGGGACTGCAAACTAGTACAACCTCTATGGAAAGTAATATGGAGATACCTCGAAGAGCTAAAAGTAGAATTACCATTTGATCCAGCAATCCCATTACTGGGCATCTACTCAAAGGAAAAAAAGACATTCTATAAAAAAGACATCTGTACTGGAATGTTTATAGCAGCACAATTCGCAATTGCAAAGATGTGGAAACAACCCAAGTGCCCATCAATATATGAGTGGATCAATAAAATGTGGTATATGTATACCATGGAGTTCTACTCAGCCACAAAAAACAGTGGTGATCTAGCACCTCTTGTATTATCCTGGATAGAGCTGGAGCCCATTCTAGTAAGTGAAGCATCACAAGGATGGAAAAACAAGCACCATCAAAGGTACTCACCATCAAATTGGTATTAACTGATCAACACTTATATGCACATATAGTAGTAACATTCATCAGGTGTCAGGCAGGTGGGAGTGGGGAGGAGGGGATGGGTATATTCACACCTAATGGGTGTGGTGAGCACCCTGTGGTGGATGGACAGGCTTGAAGCTCTGACTTGGGTGGGGCAAAGGCAATATATGTAACCTAAACGTCTGTACCCCCATAAAATGCTGAAATAAAAAATAAAAATAAATAAACAAATAAACTATGCCCCTTGACTTCATAGATAGAGTGGGCGTGTGTGATGTGCTCAGGGTGTGAGGAGAAGCCCTTTGTCATTCTGACTTCCCAGCAGCAACATGTTTTGAGTGCAAAGGTGAGAAACACTCATCCTCCCAGCCTGGAGGCCCCTGCCCCAGGAGGCCAGCCAGATCCCCTTCCTCGGGGCTGTTCAGCAAGGACTCTAACTTCTCTCTGGCATCCAGTTTGTTTATGGATCTGCTTCCTCCAAGCAGGACTGCATTCCTGTCTTCTTATGCCCTGCACAGTGACTGGCCTTAGTTGTGTGGCAAACGTTTATGAATGAACAGAGAGAGAGAGAGAGCAATTCACCTAAGGAGAACACAGGAATTCAATATTTAAATGTGCGGGTGAGTGTATTTCTTAAACAAACCCTTGACTACTCTGTGTGCTTTGCTGAGCTCAGGTAGGTTAGTAGCATATTATCTCTTCCTAATAAACTGAGACATGGGAATGGTCTAGACAACTTTAGCTCTGCTGAGAACTGACTATAACCATGTCACCATTTCCAGAGTAAAGCGCTTGCTCTTGTTCAGCTGGTGCGCTGTGGCCTAGACAGCTGCTTCACAGTCACAAAGTAACAGGCAACCATATCTATTGATCCCCCTCTCACCGTAGTAGAGATACACCCTAGAAAGGAAAAAATTGACCAAACGAAGTTTCAAGATACTTAGGGCAATTTTGCTTTTAATGAGGAGGCTAACTGAACAATCTCTATGTTAAATATCTACCATAGGTAACCTGCCATATCTGTCTCAGGATGTACAGGACACCGAAGCTCAGGTAATTTCCTTCAGCGATAGAGAGCTTACAATGCCTCAGACCGTTTTTTGAGGGAAGAAAGGGGGTCCCACTAGAGATCTTACTGGATTTGAACTAATCTCCTGAACTCTGACCTGCATGTACCTCAGATGGAAGAGGGTTGTCACACTTCCCAAATGCAAGGATCTGTTTTGGACAAACCCAAGAGGCCCAACTCTTCACCGCGGCTTCTGGGCCTCTGTCCTGACAGGTCCAGGATGCCCCCTGGAGGATCCCCTCTGGGCACTCCTTAGCATGTCAGTGCCCCGTCCCCCAGCTGTGTAACACACCCTGCTGCCCTGTCTTTTACTGAGGGCCTTCACGGTGTGTCCCACCTGGCCAACTCCTGCCTATGGGTCAAGTTCAGATAGAGATGACCTCAGTGGAGCAGTCTATTCCAGCCCTGTCAACTGTCCCAGGGTCAGCACCTACCTTTAGCAGAGTCCTTATCACCCTGCGGGTGACTGTCACTTACTTAGCCTCCTCCTCTGCAGCTTGCAATTTCCAAACAGCAATTCCCATCAATTTCAATAACAAAGCTTAATACTGAGCACAAAGTAAATCTCAAAGTCACAGGAGTTCAAGAAAATCCCTAGATAATGCAAATGCAAGAACCTGCTCCTAAAATAATTTTGTAACCATATATCCATGGAGGCACTTGTACTTTTAGGGTTAGACATAAATTTGTGTTAGACATAAAGGTGCTGTATAAAGTGTTGCGGAACAAATTTAAAAAAATAAAATTCCAGAACAAGAAACATGACCCTCTCTTTATGCACTCAATTGAATAATGACATATTAAGAAAAGGTAATACTACATTCAAAATTTGATTTTAATACACAACCATCTGCAGCCCATAGGTTATACGAAGTAATTCTCCTTTATTTATTCATTTCACTTCTTTGCTCTAGTTTAGGGATGACATGGAGATTTTTTTTTATGTGAATCACCCATAAATATAACTTTACCCCTACATGGAACCCTTATATCACCAGAGAAAAGAACACTTTTTAAATCTGGCAATGAAAAGAAATGATTTTGCTACTAATTTTGGAGGGGTTATTTCCATCCACAGAACATTGCAATGAAAAGAATGCATTTAAGTCAGCATTTTGGCAATTCCCCACCCTCAGCCTCACATGTCTCCCAAATTCAGGAGCAAATGTGAAGCAGTGAGCACAGGCAGGGCCTGGTGTGCGGGAGTTTCTGACATCACTCAGGGCTGCAAAGGCAAGACCTGCTTCAGGGTCTTATGTACACCTGGAAGGCAGGTGCACCATGGCCTGCAGCCCAGGCCAAGAGCTCTCACCCTACCATATTCCAGCACCTCAATACTTGCTTCATAGCCCAGAACGTTTTCACAGGGAAAAGCTTCTTTTGCATTAAATAGTTCTTGATCTCATTTTGCTTATAAGTCTGTGGACATACCCAACTCAGGGAAAACACATATATCTGATCCTGTACTTTCTCTTGCAAAAAAGAAAAGAAAAGAAGTTTATTTACCCTCAAAGTCCAAACCGAAGACAAAAGTATAACCTGTGTTACCTCAAATCACCAGAAACACCAGAGAAACATCAGAAGGCAGCTCTCTTGGATCTTGAAAGAAAGAACTAAAAGTCCAAAAGCTGCTCAGGTCACCACCTCTATTTCTTGAATTTTTTTTTATTTTTTATTTTTTTAACCATTTTCAATACCTAAACTACCAATAAATGCTACAGATTTTAAAAATTCAATTGTGAGTTTTAAACCTGCATGATAAATTTCAAACAGAAGTGCACAATGAGAAGGTGAGCAAGAATGGGTACAACAGCCATCAGATCAGAAAATAAAATAGCTTCTTACCATGTTTATTGATGACACAGGCCCAATGCTGTTAACATAAATGTCAACGTCAATTACGGTCGGTTTTACTGTGGAGAAAAACACATTTATGTTAATACTTTGTGCCAGAGAGAGACAGCAGAGTGCACTATTCAACATCCTGATGACACATGCACTAACATCTCAAGGATATGCTGGAAACACATAGGGGCGGGTTTTTCCTAGAGAATTATCTTGTAGTTACAATCTGAATCCTGCTGGCCTTACTTTTTCAAATTCTCAAAGGATTAGAGATTCTTGCTTGTATTTATTAAGGTCTAGGAAAATGGAACGATTATTCACTGCAAGTTGCCAGTGACAAATGAGTATAAAGATATTCTGTAACATCAGTTAAGCTGATTTTATGGCAAGAATAGGAGATAAATCTAAGACATTGCATAAGTGATTTAATGTCCAAGTTTTACTGGAAATCTAAACAGAAGAGATGAGCAACGTCAGTGATGTACCAAGTTATTTATCTACCACATAGCTGTGTAACTACCATTCCAAAGCAAAGCAACCCAGAGCAAAGTTCTAGTGAGTTTATATACCAAAAAATAAAATAAGAAACATAGTTTATTGTAGGAGTATCAGTTAAAGACACATATGAACACATATATCACAGAGTTAAAATCCTATAACTCAAAAATAATAAAATTTTAGTAAGTCAAAGAATCACTGTTTCAATTATGAGGGTATAAAATTTATATAATCAGAGGTCATGATATCTAACATTGTGCATCAGAGGTTACATTGGCTCATTGGCTTTAAAGAAAACCAGTTTCTCTTTCCAGTTTCCAATGGAACTGAACGAGACGGGTACTCAGACCGCCAAGTCAGCAGACCTCTGAGTCAGGGGCGATGTCTTCTGAATGGATGGATGTGCCCTTCACTCAGCACTCACTGAGCGACAAAGGAGAGAACAGAGCCAATTTCAGAATATTTCTACCCAGGGAAGAATATGAACTAGACTCCTGAACCGTTCCACATGAAACAAATTGTTTCCATGGAAACATAAGTGTTTGTATAGGCAATTATTTCAATGCGCCTCCTTCAGATTTGCTAAATAACGGACATTCACAAACGGACCTCTGCACTCCACTTCGGAACTATGAGTGGCACCTCTGAGCTCTCAGTCTCTTGTAAGATTGCATATTCAGTGGTCTGTCCCCTGGGCAATGATTTCCAGACCTCCATGAAATGAAAATAATGATTATGAATTTGAGCCAACTCCTCTAACATCTGTCAGCACAATCAAATCATGTGAGCTCCAAAGAGCTGTTGGCATTTTGGAAAATGTCCCAACACAACTCTATGCAGTATGTATATAACGCCTAAATTTCATAAAAGGAATATTCTTCATTTTAAATGTAGCTTTGCTAACTACTGTGAAAATTAAGTAGCGTCTTTCTTCAACTGAATTGGATTCAGCAAGTGTTGTGTCTCCAAATACTATATAACCTTTGATTATGCCACACAAAAGGCTATGTTGAGTCAGTCAGTTGAGAACCTACTTTTTGCAAGAGACTTTTTTGGTTGTTTCACAGTAGTTATTAGACTTTAGGCTTCCAAAGCTTTTTATCTCATTAAATTAAAAGGACCTACAGACATAAAGCTTTATTAATACACCATAGTGCAATGAAGGGTTTATAAGAAAGGAGTTTGGAATAACGACACACAAACACACACACACACACACACACACACACACACACACAAAAGCTGGGGAAATGAACTGTTTTCAGCTGATGCTCTTTTAAGTAGAGTCATGCTAACATAAATGAAGCATTTAGGAAAGTGGCTTTGACAGGGGCACTCAGGAAAGAGACTGGTCATAGGAGGCTCAGGGTTTATAATTCAAGACTCAAGATTAAGCCCTGACAAATGATCTTCATCAAGAATGTCAAGACCATTCGATGGGGAATAGGACAGTCTTTTCCACAAATGGTGCAGGGAAAACTAGATATCCACATGCAAAAGAATGAAGCTGGACCCTTACCTTCCATCATAAACAAAAACTAACTCAAAATGGATTAAAGATCTAGATATAAGATGTAAGACTACAAAACTATCAGAAGAAAACATAGAGGGAAAACTTCATGACATTGGATTTGGCAATGATTTCTTGAACATAACACCAAAAGCACAGGCACCAAAAGAAAAAGAGATAAATTTGACTACATCAAAATTAAAAACTTCTGTGCATAAAGGGCACAACAGAGTGAAAAGGCAGCTCATAGAATGGGAGAAAATATTTGCAAATCATATATGTAATAAGTGGTTAATATCCAGAATGTGAAAAGTACACCTACAACTCAACAACAAGAAAAACAACCTGATTTAAATGGGCAAAGACCTTAAATAGACATTTCCCCCAAGAAGATATGCAAATGGACAATAAGACATGAAAAAATGCTCAACAGCATTAGTCATTAGGGAAATGCAAATCAAAATCATGGGATACCACCTCATACCCATCTGGATGGCTAGTATTAAACCAAGCAAGTGAACCAAAACAACAACAACAACAACAACAAACAAAATAACAAGTGTTGGCCAGGATGTAGAGAAATTAGAACGCTTGTGCCCTGTTGGTAGGAAGGAAAATGATACAGCCACGGTGGAAAACAGTATGGTAGTTCCTCAAAAAATTAAAAATAGAATTACTGTATGACCCAGCAATTCCACTTCTGGGTATATACCCAAAATAATTAAAGTCCGGGACTCAAACAGATATTTATACACCCATGTTCATATCAGTATTATTCATAATAGCCAAAAGATGGAAACAACTCAAGTGTCCATCAACAGATCAATGGATAAACAAAATCTGATATTCATACAATGAAATACTATTTTTCCTTAAAAGGGAAGGAAATTCTGACACATATTACAACATGGATGAACCTTGAGTACATTATGCTAAATGAAATAAGGCAGTCACAATAAGGCAAATACTATACGATTTCACTTATATTAGGTACCTAGAGTAGGCAAATTCATAGAGACAGAAAGTAGAATGGAGGTTGCCAAGGGCTGGGGGAGGGGGAAATAGGGTGTTAGTAGTGTTTAATGGGTATAGAGTTTCAGCTTTGCAAGGTGAAAGAGTTCTGGTGATGGATGGTGGTGATGGTAGCAAAACAATATGAATGCTCTTACTGCCACTGAACCATACACTTAAAAATGGTTCAGATGGCCATGCCCTGTAATCATGCCTATAAACCCAGCATTTTGTGGAGGTCAAGGTGGGAGGATTGCTTAAGGTCAGGAGTATGAGACCAGCCTGTGCAACATAGTGAGACCCTGTCTCTACAAAATATTTTTAAAATCAGCAGGATGTGGTGATATAGGCCTGTAGTCCCAGCTACTTGGGATGCTGAAGCAGGAGGGAGCCCAGGAGTTTCTTGAGGCTGCAGTAAGCTATGATGACATCACTGCACTTTCAGCCTGGGCAACAGAGCAACACACTGTCTCAAGAAAAAAAAAAAGGTTCAGATGGTAAATTTTATGTGATGTGTATTTTACCACAATAAAAAGAAGATTAAGCCCTGGGTAGCCGGGAGAAAGCTAAGGACTTACGCAGAGGTAGAAAAGCCAGGGGTGGGGGGTCCTTAGTGAACGAGTGCAGATTCCATTGCGAGAGCGTAAAACAGAGCTGATGGAACTGGGGTCCACACACTTCATTTGAAATGGATTCACATTGCAGTTCTTTGTTTTAATTCTATCTTACCTATCTGGATGTTATTATTTCCTAAAAATTCAGAATTAGTATGTCGGAGAAGCATGATAAAGGCATCCAAGGCACAGCATGAGTGAACACTGCGAAGATGCACTGGGCAAGCCTTGATAGGCACCAACCGCCTGTGCTCCCTTCATAGACCTGTGTGGCCCCAAGGGGAGTATGGGGACTACAGTTTATCTTTGCCTCTGTTGCAAAACCAAAGCAGATACACGCTTGGTTATTTTCCTCCACCCTCCCGTGGTCCTCCCCATCCTAGAACAAGCAGCTGAGGAGAGCCTGGTGGACTATGTGAGCTCTGTCAGTGAGGAGCTGAGGAAGCAGCCCCGGCAGGAAAGGCCCTGTCAGTGGCCTTGATAGGGGGAGAATGCAGGGTCAGGGCGGGTCTGTCTGAAGATGCACCAAGAGGCACACGTTGACCCTGGCTCTCCAGAATGCCATTTAGACACTGGAGCTGAAGAGGTTCTTCATCTTTTTCATTGTGTGCACTCAAGGAATTCTGTCATGGTAAAAAGGGAATAAAGCATATTTTAATTGTAGAAAGTTTCCGACATCAGTGAGGTGGGCACTGATCTTATTTAATAAGTCAAGTAAGTCGTGCCCTTTTAAAATGGGTCAGCGCTGGCCCTCACTCGTAACAAGGTTCTGGGCAGCCTGAATGACCTGATTCCAGATCACTTCCTACCTTTTCCAAAGTAAAATGGGAAGTTATACCAAGCCAGCTTCTCAAAACCTCAGAAGTTTCTCTCTAAAATCATGGGCTTACACTGGAATGGTTTACTTTAGAAAAATTGGGGATGGAATACAAGAGTCCGTAGAAAACAGACATATTGAGGAACTGTGTTCAGCTCAGTATGGATTCATGGGCCGCAGGCATTCCTCTGGGGAAGGCAGAAGAGCAGGAATCCGTTTCCTAAGGAACCAGGATACAGGTTCACGCGGAACACCCAGCGTGTATACATGGCGGGCCTCAAGGGCTACGAGAATCATTACAGGAGTCATTGAGCTTTTCTTGAGTTGAGTCTTTCGATTAATACCTCTTATGAAAGATAGTTCTCACACAAATTTCTAATAAGCCTCGGGGGACTTTTAGGAAAATTCATTTTGCATGTAGTAACAGAAAAGGAAAGATGTATTGTCTTTCTCTGGATCTCCGTATTATGAGGTCACTTTCTGTTGTTAGGTCAGGAGCACCCCTTATGAGAAGAGCTTGTCTCTGCAAGGCAGGGTGAGTGTGATTCACCTTCACCCATTCCCGCAGTGTCCAGCACACTGAATGTTGCAAAACTACAGCTTCTAAAACTTGTAGTT